TGTTTCGCCGCTTTTGCGCGAAAACGTGCAGAGAAACAAAGTAACGTTCCGTTTTTCACCCTGCGTTTCAGCCAAACAATTTATCGCGGGGTTTGAAAGATTTTTAAAATCCTTCTGATAAAAAGAAGACAAAAGAAAATTTACAGCTCTGGAAAACAAAGAAGTAGCTTCGCTTCTTCTTCTTAATTTTAAGTAAGGATAATAGTTCCTATTTTTATTGTATGCATAGCAGAGGATATTAAATTATTCTTTATATGTCTATAAATAAAATATTTCATATGTATATATATATATATATATATATATATATATATATATATATAATTTTTTCTCCCTTCTTTCTGCTCTACATATTCATGATTTAAGGCTGGAAAACCTAACTTGTCACTTTAAGGTACAATGCAATTTCTCGCACAATCCCGTGTCTCGTACGCGCAGGGGTGAAATAAAATCTTGTAAAAAATCTTGGAATCCTTGCCGCCCTGGGAAAGGTGCAGCTTTCGCGAGAGTGAGAGAAATGTAGAATAGGTATTTCGCAGAATTTCTAAAGTCCTGCAGTGCGAACTGATATACGGTCGTTGAAACATTATCGCGAGGCCCCCTCGAGCGACGGTTTTATCATAGATCATAGGTAAGCTTCGACTACCGACAAAATATACCCTATTACTTAAACCGCCGGCTTACCACTTAAACCGTATCTCAAGGGAAATGGATGAAGGAGACAGATTACTATTTATCCGCGGTATCACATCTAGCATTAAGCAGTAGGATAATGCACGACTACGTTGCACACACACATAACGACGATCCGCGGAAGTTTGCGATTTATTAGCCCTTATTACGTTGCTGTTATTGTATCGACAAGAGGATTCAATTCTTTCAAAAACCCTCAACGAAAATTCTGTCCCTTTTGCAGTCAAGATACACCGAGAAAAAGACTACTGGAGAATTTATCTGTGGCGTATAAAGTCGCGATAAAATGAGTCTATTTTTGTGAATAAACTTGATAATCCACAAATAAATTTTGGAGTATTTTTTGTACCTACTTTTCAGCGGATTATTGCAATTGATTCGTTAGAAGCAAAGTGTGACGGAGAAGTGAAGCGTTCGCGCTCGCCGCGGCTTCTCCGAGGTGGTCGCGACGACGGTGTCAGAGGGTCAGCGGAGGTGCGACCTCGTCCGGAAATCGGTCGGACGGAACGAATTGAGCCCGACTGGGTTTCCGCCCGAGTGGCGCGATATCGATCGAAAATTCAATCTACCCGAGTCGGCTGGGATATCGTTTCTGGAAGGAGGAAATCGCGGACCATTATCGAGCTTGTTCCTCACCTCGTTCGCGGCGTGCTCGAGCGATCAGCTCGAGCAGGAAAACCGTTGCACTTAGGCAGACAAAAGCGCGTTCGGGATTCCAATTCGGTCGTGCTTCAGCTACGAATTATGGTGGTGCCCTTTTGTACGTCTCTGCCGATGCCGCGGCAGCGTGCATCGCGAAAACGACCGGCTAACCTTTCGCGCCTTTCGCGTTGGATCCAGTTCAGATAGCCGCGCGATGCGATGCGATGCGATGCGCCGCGAGTATCACAAGAACGGGAGGGAGGGGGGCTTCCCTCCATCCTGCACGCCCCCTTCGATCGCCGTGGGGCCCGAGGGATGATCCTCTCGCACCTACGGTAACGCGCCTGCGATTTCGCCCGCGCGTCTCGATTCTCGCGGCGTGAGCCGCGCGATCGCTTTATTTTAAACCCCGCCAGAGTTCGCCGAGACAGGTAATAATCAAATTCAGCCGGTGGAAAGAAACAAAATTAATCTTCCCGGCTGCCGCGAAGCCCCACGTCCCGTTTTGCATTTCTTTTCGCGCAAATTGTGCAGACTATTAATTTGTAGAGACGTATAATTTCCGCTCGCTGTTGAACGCGCGCGCGGGACATGAAATGGTCGCGGCGCGCGCGCGAGCGAGCAAGCGAACAAGCGAGCGGCACCGAGTATAGATTTCTAGAGTTCGAAGGCGAGAGGCGTTTGCGGTTTCCTCCAATTGATTTCGTGCGGCCTGTCGGCACATATCGTATAGCAGTTTTAATACCGTAGTTACATCAGTCCCAGCCTGATTGAGCACTTAACTAGACAAACCGCCCGCGGGCAATACATTATAAGACTATTCATTTGCATCGCGGCTAACCGCTCCGCTACTTCCCTTGTCGCGCATTCGTCCACCCGGCCGGGAGAAAAATGGCGATCCTGGTGAAATATCACGCGATATTAATCTGCGGCATTCGTTGTCAATTTGTCAATAGATTTCGCGGCGGTAATAAGCGCCGGCGAGAGCGAGTGCGCTGCCAATTATTTCTGGATCGAATTCCCCCGTTCGTTAACTGTACCTCGCTCCGGCCGTTGCCTCCATGCTCGACATCTTAATCGCGACGTTTCGATGTCTAATTTGCCGTTTCTCGATGTGCTACGGGGAAGGAAACGAAATTTCTCAACTGAGACTCACGGTTTACGCAATCGCGCGGCCCCTCTTTCGCCTCGATAAATCACACCCCCGTCGTCCACTCGAACGCTTCCCTCGTTTGATTCGCGACAACCATACCGGCGAAATTATCTGGGAGCGATGGAGTCACGATAACACGCGTAACCCCTCTCTCTCTTTGCGTACTGTCGCCTTTGACAGAATCCGTGGAGGACGCGCGCGTTAAGAAACCCTCGGGGTCGAAGGTTGCCGTTGATCCGCGACTCGCAGCGGTGCAACGCGACGGCGATTTTTTTAATTACTCGCAGTAAATCACAGATTGGAATCGCAGACTCGTGTTCGGAAATTCCACGCGAAAGCGGGAAACGTGCTTGTTCGGACGATAATTCACACCGACTCGAACAAAAATCCGCGACGCGGCTCGCGTGTTCGCGTCGCTAAAAATTTCTCGCATTTGCAAGGAAGACGCGCGCCCTTCATCGCGCGAGCAACCATCGTGCTCTCTCACGAGCCGCAAATTCCTCGTCTCGAGCGGTCCAGATCTCCCGGCACCCGTCGCGCGCGCCTCTTAAAACACACTGAGCCGACTCTATTAAAATGGATGAGATATCGTTTTTACTCTTTGACCTCACACAACTTCGTGTAGGGACTTCATTTTTCCCCGTATCCTTCGGCATATATTTATTGGGAATTGTGTTCGACGCAATGCACGCGTCGACGTTATATGAACGAATTATTTATCCCCCTATAATGTATAAGTGCGCCAGTAATGCGAAGAGAAGCGTAAACGCGACAAATTTATAAGACGATCCCGGATATGTTAATAAAGTGTAACGCACAACTGCTATCTTATATACTTTAGCAAATGTGTTTGCCAATTTAAAAAAATTCACTCAGATATTCAAGTCAATCAATACATACATACATATATACAGGGTGTAACAAAAGTATCAGTACCCTTAAATAAATTTCCAGGATCGCATTTTTCTAGAAAATCATTCAGACAAAAGTTGCATAGTTTTGACCTAGCGATTCGATGGTGATCTTGCCTTTGACCTCGAGGTCATTTTTCGAGGTCATTTCAAGGTCAATTTTTTTTTTTTAATGGAAACCCGCATTTTTTATTCCAGAATTTATTTAGGGGTACTGATACTTTTGTTACACCCTGTATATATATCACATCAAATATATAAATAAATTAGAGCAAATATATAAATATATATAAAATATCAAATTATACAACTGCTATTACTCATCGAGAATCAATCCCATTTACAAACAAGCATGCACTATATAATGTGATGCTTTATGAGCGTCTAATTGGACGCTCACCATTGTTGATATTCAACCGTCGACTGCGTTGCTCGGCATCTGTCCAGTATCCAGAATTCCTCCTCAGGACTGCAGCTGATATCCCACGTTGCTTACACTTCACTCGCGATCGCGACAGTTTTAATATTGCACGATTTCACGAAAAATGCGCGATAGAAATCCTTGAAAAGATACTTGTGAAACGGATATAAACAAACGCGTACCGACGGTTACGATGCTGTGATTTTACAAAAAATACGCGGCAGTAGTCCGGTATTTTGAAAATACAACGCGAGCCGCGAATCACGTGTAAACAATCGCGCACCGGAGATCGCAGGACTTTAATCAGAGCCGAGGTAAAAACAACAAATAATATTTCGAATTCGGTACAATTACAAAGCTAAATAGAAGTGAAAAGAATACGTTGGCAGATTTAAAACGGGGCTTTCGGCGAATATTATTAGAGTTACAAATCGATACTTGCGAGATTTAAGTAGGTTTTTTATTTCGACTCGTTTCGCAAGAATACTGATTTTAAGAAAAAACACATATATGTTTCAAATTTGGCGGCACATTTGATTGAAATAAAACTATGAATTGTCGTGTATGAAAAATGTAGGAAATTGACGATTTGGAAGTCAACAAAATTAATCATAAAGTAATCGCGAAATTGAACGTGAAGTAATAAAAATATTGATTACCAAGTGCCAATTAGAATGCAATACAATCACAGAATAATCGCGAAATAATCGCAGAATTGATCACGAATTATCGAGAAATATTTGCGAAGTATCGCGAAGCCATCGCAAAATAATCGCGATTTTCTTGTTTGGTAGCGCAAATTAGATGCACATTTTGCATTGCTTGAAACTATATAAGGATATCATATTTGAATGAATATTTTTGTCGTATAATTTCATATCTTAAATATAAGAGACAAAACATTTATAGAAATGAGTTGACTGAAGATTAAAATAAAAAGCAATATTGAAGGGAAGAAATAAATATCTGTAGAAAGCTAGAGTATTCTTTCTTTCAATAATATAAATATCTATTAAATAATATATTTAAACAAGTGATACCCTAAGCTTGTTTCAAGCGATGAGTTTGAATGAACAAAACATGCATGCAAAAATCTACAGGTAAATCGCATTGATTCCATTGAGTTTTTACTACGACCCATCACCTTATATAATTCAATCACTTTTTGTTTCTGACTCACCAAACTCTCAGAGTCGACCATGTTCTGCTGCATATCTGGAACAAGAGAATATTTCGCTGATTAGACATGTTAATAACTGAACGAGAGAAATACGCAGATATATGCTTGTTAACTTTTTACGATCATTATAGCTGAACAATTTTTCTTCTGACACATCTCAAAAAATCGTACACAAAGAGATCGCAAAGAGTTAAACACGAGTGAACAGGAAATGTCAAGATAAACCAACCTTCGAGCCGACCATGCTCCGCCCGAACCGGATCCTCCGGTACGGCATCCGCAGAAACTGCACCCCCAGGCATGCTGTTCACCAGGCTGCAAGCTCTGGGAGATCTGAAACAAAAAGCAAGTTTTTTAGTAAGATATATGAATGTCAATTTATGAAAAATAGAATGGCACAAGAGATTGTATATTTCTCTCTTAAGTTGATGAAAATAAAAAGCAGTAGTCACTCTTCGTATGTGTAGTATACTACCAAAATGATCCTAGCACGATGATCGCACACGTGAAATTACGTAACGCGTCTCACACACGCTTGGCACGATTTGGCAAAATTTGAACGAGAGAACGCGCAACGCCGATACGATTATCTTCGCGTCCTCTTTGGTACACAGACTATCAAGACGCACAATAATGTGCGTTGACAGCTCATAGTGTCGAAAAAAGAAAACAGCAAAAATTCGTCAAAATATTTAATTAACATTGTAATAATGAAACAGTTATTAGTCTACCTGTCCTTTGTATATCGCTACGACATGAATTGTATCACTCTTACGACAACGAGCTCTCTCTCTCTCTTTCTCTCTGTCTCCCCCTCCTCCCGCCTCTCTCTCTTCGGAGCTTAGATGACGCACGGAGCAACGTCGGCCGATGTGTTAATGAAATTTTACTCGACGTAAAAACATCGACCATGTCCGCGACGGACGCCGAAAATGCGCGCCAAAACAATGTCGCTATCTGACAAGAACGTGCGCTCTCGCGCGAGGTCATCTCTCTCTCTCTTTCAGACCGACTACTTCTAACAGACCGACGTTACCGCTCGAGATTCGACGTCGCGTATATCTCTGGCGTCCTTTTATCTTTTTCTCTTTCTCTCCGATTATCGTTACATTTCTAATTCCCGATCGCCCGATTCTATAACTACTTAAGTGAGTCGACGGTGAAAGCAAGTGTGAGAGACGCCGATTCAACACGTCGCGACAAGCACCGCTCGCGTGTATCGCGAAACGAGATTATTGAAGTACTCACGATACATCCTGACGATCGCATATCGCTGTTTCGGCACTCCCAATACTCATTTGCGCGCGAGACTCACTTTCGATAGGTAAAAGACACGGAGCGATGTTGGTCGATGTGTCGCCTGGCGGTTGCTCGAAACAAAGAGACCCAAAATGGCCGCGCAATTGATCACATACGTGAACGGTGGCGCGCTCCTATAGCGCCATCTGTACGCTCGCGGATGACTTACGACTCGACAGATCGATTTATTCGATATATCGATGCATTCGATAGATCGATAGATAGTAGATATTTTCGTTCAATCATATTCGTTTCTACTTATGCGTTTCTTATATTCACATTCAATCAACGGACAACAGTATTTTCGCGACAATGTAGTTTTTCGTGTAATACTACGTTATATTCGTGCGCGTTCACGACATTCGGATTCAAGACGGAGATCACCGCATCGTCGGTCTGATGTCGAGGGAAGCATTTGATCTATCAATGGTATAAGACATTCGCGGATTAAGTATACATTATGCGTATCATTCTAATAAAATTAATATCGCTTTATGATAAGTGGTCATCGGATTGAAAATCGGGAGAAATTAATATCGATAACAGAGTACTCTGTTATTATAATCTGAATATGAAACGGGCAATATCCCACCCGAAATTGACGCTATTAATCGATGTTAATCCTGCTCTTGTTAATCAGATAAATTTTGCGCTTGATGTTTATCGAAGTGAGATTCGAATTGAAAGAACAGTTACGTCACGCGTTCGCCAGCTCGCCGCGTCAAAAGGCTCGAAGGTTGTTCTCTACTTCCGGGAATGTCGATCGCGTGTTTATGGTGTACATATGCGGAGCATGCCAACACGGCCAACAGACGCGCGATAATTCCTTCCGGCCGTTTCGCCGGAAAATTCGTTGAACGCGCGCAGGGTGCGTCGGGGTTGAGGGACTTTGGTCGAAGGTTGTAAGGTTGGAGGTGTCGGACGCCGTAGGGGGCCCCGAGCCTAGCCGGTGCTACATCATCCGCGGGGACAGCGTATCCACTTGTTAGCGAAGCGGGCACAGCCACTGCCTACAAATACGTTTCCGCCGTGATAAATGGACTGCAACTCTCGAAATACGAAGGCATTCCTACTCCGGGCGTTGCTTGATTAATGAACTACGGGATTTCTACGGTAAGTCCGCGCGCCGATCGACCTCTCGGGTTCCCTCAGCCGTGGAACATCCACGACGGGCTGTACCGGCGAGACAACTCGCTACATCACTTCCGGATTACCGGCTAAAAATGGATCCGATCGATTCCGTTGCGGTAAATTATAGAACGAAAGAAAAACAGGACTCGTTCGATCGCGGTACTTTAGTGTCGAGGATCTGAAACTCCTCTCGAGAAAGCAAACATATAAAACGCCCCATATATTCTTGAAAGTAGGGGGGTCAAGTCGGCACATTGTTTATGTATTTATCATGAGAGCAACGATGGCTAAGGGATCGCAAAATTCTTCTTAGAACGTAGGAAGACTACTTATGTCCTAAAAGGAATATATTACTCCTTTTCCACTATCATAATAAATACATAAATCAAACATGTGGCCAATATGATCCGCTCTCCGCTATATCTCCAGCCACGATTCATCGAAATTGAAAATATCATAATACATATAGATCATATCTTACTCACATAAATATGTTTGTACGAATGTGGCGAGATCATTATTGCGTGAGTAACGACACGATAAACTCCACGATCACGCACGCGACAAAAATGCCAAGTACAACTACTGCATCTCGTAAAAAATAGCTGTGCAAACACATCGTCGGGAAGGGGGTTAATTTTCACGCGTCGGCGCACACAACGGATTTCGCGTGTACGTGAGCCGAGGCCCCACCAGGAGCGTGCGTTACGTTGCTCGTGAAGATCGGGCCCGTTCGTAGTCGGGTATAAGCGTAACGATAAATCAATAGCGGAGGCCCCGCGGTATCCTCGGTGGTGCCCATAATAAATTCATGAATTGTAAAACTGCTGCTCTCTCTCTCTCTCTTTCTCTCGATCTCTCTCTCCTTCTCGCGCGCGGGACGAACCGTGGCGTATTGGATTTATTGGTCGACCTGACCCTACTAAGACGCCTCGCTAAGGCCCCTCCGGTGGGTGGAAGAGAAGCGGAGGACTCGTGGGGGCCCGCGGACGGAGCGGGAGGGGGAGGCAGAGGTCCCGGGAGACCGCAGGGGCGGTGGACAAAGGGTAGAGAGAGAGGCCGCGGGCACGGGTGATGTATGAACGAGTTAACGGGTCGCTATCGATCACCCGTGTTACCAAATAATTTTCAATTATCGTGTATAAATCCAACACGAGGCGTTGGTTATGCGCGCGGCGCTCGTTCGCCATCGATTGCATGTCAGCGGATAGACGCCGCGAGTCCGGTCGGTTAATATCGAGCGGCGGCGAGACGCGTTCGCGGTGACATTTAAAGGTTTTGCCGATCTGACACCATGGCGTAGCCTGCAGTCGGTTGCACTGCGAGATTTCGTCGGGAACAAGCATCGCGAGCGAATGGCTCCGCGTTATCCGTCGCAATTTATGCGTTTCTCTTTTTATTGTGACGCGAGCTAATATTCATCTCGTATAACACACGATCCAGATTTGATTTCTTACCGACTCGGCTGAACGATTACGCCGCGCGCAGAGTCGTAATTTCGCACCATTAACCTCCATGTCCACTGGAGGATTTATGAGAATCCAAAGCACGCGCGCACGCGTCGATAAAGCTGTAACGGTGGATAGGGGAGAGGCAGTTGCAAAGTTTTACGTGACAGTCTCACCGTTCATTCAGTGCCATTGTCCGTGCGCATTGACGTGTGTTTATCGTGCGACCGATCGATTTCGAGCCGGCACCCAGATAGACTTTCATGATTATCACGACAATCAATAATGGAATTATGAATTATCATGACAACCAATAATGGAAATTTCATAATTTTCTAAATTACATTTATGAGGTAAATATACTGTATTGACTTGATTATTAAATTTCCATTATATAATAGTATAAATTTTTTTCTATATTAATGCAATAATAAATTTACCAAGTTTTACTCATATATCACATTTTGCATAACATATTGTTTTGAGCAAATTTTGATTATTCTTTTCGTATTTTTATCATATCTTTACTTCATCACTCTATGCGATAAATATAAGTGCCATATGAACCACTAGTACATGGAAAAAATATTGTAATAAAAATTACAACTTTAATCTGAGAATAGACTATTACGAAAATTATAATAAAACATAGTAGAAATGATTATAAATGTAATAAGAGTCACATGTGTTTATGGTCATTTTTATACTATAATTTTATTATAATTTATTATAATTTTCGTAATAGTATATTCCTAGACTACTAAAATTACAACATAATTTTTATTACAATGTTCTCTTCGTATAAGAGACGCAACCTTTACAAATCGACTGGTACAGTTACTGTACCCAAGCACTGTAGCCAAGTTGACATACAACTGTCTACTGGGGTACTCCGAGCGATCAATGCACCAGCGGCGTCGGCGAGCGGTGAATTGCGCTATATTAAGCACGCGTCTCTCGCTCCTACGAGAGCAATTTCTACGATCGTCCGTATTACTTCTTATATAACAGCGTGCGCGCGGAAGCCAGGTGTGAGTAGTAGGCGGCAAATTATGAAGTACGGCGTGAGCCGGGAGCAAAGGCCGAAAAATTACGACGAGCGGCGCGTGTAAATACTGAAAACCGCGCCGGTGTCGCCCCCTTATCTCGCAATCCCCATATTTTCTCGCGCTCGCAACGAGTATCATTCGCGATTATGCGAGCGCCATTCGTCGAAGACTGCGAGAAGCCGAGGGGCCCCCGCGCGCGACTGCCCCTCCTGCTGGGGGCCCCTTTTCGCGGGGGCACCCGTGCCGGCGGAGATTACACGGCCGGGCAGTTAGAAGTGGTTTAGCGATAATTTAAACGCGCTAAATCAGAAACGCATTTACGAGATCGGCGTGAAATTTATAAATTAGCCCGGCTGGCAGATTTGTGGCTGGTATTTATACATTTGCACCGCCATGGGGCCTCAGC